GAGTGGAGTAGGTCCGTGCCTGAGATTTGAACCCATGAACCCAGGCCACCAAAGCAGAGTACGCAGAACTTGAACCTCTCGGCCATGGGGCTGGGCCTGACCTATGGTATTTTTTTGTATATATTTACCAAAACTCGAGTGTTCTCAAGTGAAAAGAAAGTTTGAAATGAAATTCTGAAGATATATAAACCATTATTAATTTGAAGAAGGTCAGAACCAGAATATTCAAATGAAGATATTTGAGGCAGTAGAGGATAAAGAACTGAGCAAAAAGCAGGAGGGAAAATTGCATTCACAGGCTGTTTTAGGTAATAAAATTAAACAGCAAGCAATTCTGATAATGTAAATGGATTGTATACCAAAAGATTTTTGGTTTTTTTTTTTTAGTATTTAAAAAAATTTTTTTTAATTATGGTAAAACACACATAACATAAAATTTATCATCTTAACCATCTTAAACATTTTTAAATGTACAGGTTTTTTTTTTTTTAATTTTTTGTTTATTGCAGTAACATTGGTTTATAACATTGTAAAAATTTCAGGTGGAAGAGGCAGAAACTCCCTTCTGGAAAAGTACCAAAAGATTTTTGATTGTTCTTCGCAACTCAGACCAGACTTTCCTTAAGAAACCATGTTATATATGGCTTTTATGTTAGAGGCTGGCCCATTAATTTAAACTTGAGGTCAAAAAGGGGTGGCCTGTGTCCCTTATAGAGCTTGCAAGTATTATTTGTTGATATTTATTATTTTTTTTAAAAAATATGAAATTCATTGTTTAATCTTAAAAACTGGATCTCTCTCTCACACACACACAGTCACACGCACAAACACACGCACAGTGGTTTTCCAGCCTCTCTTGAAAATTCACACTTGGCAGGACTAGCCTGCATTCCTACACAGCAAATGCAGTAATCTGATGGGGGTTAAAAACGACCTCTTTAGAGACTGTACTGCCGTACTCTACAACTTTCTTTTATCTTGAACCTAGCTGCTTTACACTTTTATCTTTGGGTATTTTATTTTGTGATCCTCATGATGTATTTGATGTTTATAATATTATTCTTTCTGGTAATATTTGCCTTGAAACCTAAGCACCACATGCAACAATTTTTATAAGTGAAACATGCTTGGATTACAAATGAGATACCAGGAACAGATCGCCTGTTATTCTAGTGGGTTTGGATTCCCCCCCTGTCTTCTGTTGCCTTTGAATCCTTTGCAGGACTTCACTCCCTCCTTAACTGTTGGTTGCTTTCTTGGTCTAGGAAGAATACTGTCAGATTTATGTTTTAGGAAACAAAAGTAAAAAACGCTTAGGTTGTATTGTGGAGTATGGATTAGAGGGAATTAAGACTGGAGGAAGGGGGACAAGATAGGAGATTGTATAATCAGTAGGAACTTAAAAATTGGCAGATCAGGAGAGAGAGGACTAGGTATATACATTTGGGAATCATTTACAACAGGTGGTGGTTGATGCAAGAAATAGAATGCAGATTAAGAAAATAAGACTAGAATGAGGTCTTGGGAAAGCTGACATTGAGTAGGTACATGTAAGAATAGGAACTAGCAGACACTGAAAAAAGGGGGTCTGAGAAGTAGGAGAGGAATCAAGAAAGAGGGGTATCGTGCAAGCCAAAGGGAGAGTTTTAAGAAAGGAGTGAAAAATAAGCTAAATGAGTTAGAGAAGTTAAGCAAACCAAGAATTAAGAAGTCGCATTTGGATTTGTCAGCTGGGAGGTGATCCCTAGGCTGATGATTAAATGTTTAGCTTCAAGGATGTAGGGATTTTAGTAAACCCTTGGCCTTCTATGTGAATTTATTAATGTTAAAGAAACAGAATCTTGTTCATTCTAATCCCAGCAAAATATTTTTGTTACGTAACAGCATCATGGAACACAAGAAAAAAGAAAAATGATTGCTTGATAAAAAGAAATAACCAAATGATAAAGGAATAATAAAAATTAATGATACTTTGGATTAATATATAAAGTTATTATCCAAACTGGGACACTTTTGAGAAGGAAAGGGATAGGTATTAATAATTTCAATAAGTATAAACCACATCTGTCCCAGGCAATCCAGGAGGAATGCTGTTTATAGTTCACATTTATTGAGTGCTAGCTATGTGCTAGACACCGAGATGAGTTCTTTACAGTTTATCTGATTTAATGATTAAGGGTTTCAGTTGCCAACATTAACACTTCTTTCTTTGTATATACTGAATTCACTGACAAAAATGCTATACATAATTTTGATGACTTTACTGAACTTAACTGTTTATTTAAAAAACAAACTGGTACCCACTATATACCAAGTTCTGTCCTAGGAAGTGGAGAAATGAAGATGATTAATACATAGTTCCCATTGTTAATGATATAGCAGTGTAGTTGAGAGACTCTGGGAACAAAATTTCAATGTAATGTGGTAAAATGTCAGGATGATGATAGTGTAGTTTGTGAAGACCCCAACTTGTATTTTTGCACATTACGTCCTGTAATTTTTAAGGTTAAGATTATAGTGTATTTGAGGGGCCAGCCCCGTGGCTTAGCGGTTAAGTGCGCGCGCTCCACTACTGGCAGCCCAGGTTCGGATCCCAGGCACGCACCAACGCGCTGCTTGTCCAGCCATGCTGAGGTGGCGTCCCACATACAGCAACTAGAAGGATGTGCAACTATGACATACAAGTATCTACTGGGGCTTTGGGGAGAAAAAGGGGAAAAAAAAGAGGAGGATTGGCAATAGATGTTAGCTCAGGGCCAGTCTTGCTCAGCAAAAAGAGGAGGATTGGCATGGATGTTAGCTCAGGGCTGATCTTCCTCACAAAAAAAAAAAAAAAAAAGATTATAGTGTATTTGAACTTTGCAAGATAAGGTTTACTTTTTTAAAAATAAATTTTATCAATGGAAAAGTCAAGGTGTAGTAGATGAGTAGGTTTTTCTCTATTATAGAAAGTATGGTCTACATGGGTGTGTGTGTATATATGTGTGTGTATGTATATGTGTGTGTTTGCTTTCTGTGAAAAAGTTTTTTCAATGGAAAAGAAAGGTATAGCTAATTGTACAGATAAGTGGGTTTTTCTCTGTTATAGAAAGTATAGTCTACGTGTGTGTATATATACATATATATACGTATATGTGTATGTATATACATATATATAGAGAGAGAGGGAGATCAGTTCTTTATCACAAAAGGATGCATTTCCATATCTATAATGTAATTTTAGCCACACTCAAGCTATATTCTTTGAGGGTTCTGGCCTGTTTCTCTGACACATCTGGTAGATATGTATGGCATTAATTAGCATAGGTATTGCTATAAATGACATGTCAGTCCAGGACAACAAAAAGTATTTGTTACTGTTGTCAATCATTCATCCTTTGTCAGTTCAAAAGGCTTCCCTAAAGGAATGTGCATTGATCTTCACTGACCCAAAATACAGCAAAACCGTTTAGAGACTAAAGTAGAACTAACTACCTATGTTTGAAAAGCCATATGGAAATATTCATATAGAAAGTGCCTGTTGATAAGTTTTAGTAGTAAGATTATTAAATTAGGCCAAGATTAGTTGAATCTTTGGAAGAGAAAACATAATAGTTTTTCTGTAATCCTAAAATCTAGTCTTGAGTGAGTTTTCTCCCTCAATAGCTTTAATTTTTGGTCATCAAATTTGTTTTTTTTGTTTCACTTTAAAATAATTTTGAGGTATGCCAGGTAAATGATTGCAAGTACCACTTACAATGATTAAAAACAGAGGGGAATCACACAGGTGTCAATCTGTGATCAGATCAATGGCTTCAAAGGTACTCACTCTTCTGCCTACATATATTTTGGTTTTTGTATTTAGCTATTCTGATATAGATATTAATTGGTTTCATTTGTTTACTATTTTCCAACTATAGTTGTTTTTTTAAATAATAATCACAAGTGTAATAATCTTAAGTTTCTGAGCAAAACCCAGCTGTAAAGTGCTAGCAGACATTTTTCTCCCAAACATCTGTATTTTATTTCCAATTTTTCTCTAAATGTTCCACCTACATTCTAATTTATTATTTAATGGAAGGCAATAAGAATGACTTTAAGGTAAGGCAAGAGGGTGTGATCCAGGGTATGGCACAAGTTGAAGATATTTATCTTAATATTTCATTTCAATGAGGCAGAAAATATCCATTATGAGAAACCTACAATTTGATAAAATTTGTAGAATAGAGTTAATTCTCTTAAAATTATGAATGTTCATACCAGCAAAGGTCAGATAATCATACATACATTTCTATGTCCTTTTAAAGGTAGGATGTGTTGCATTTTTACATCTGTTGCATTTTTACATCTTATAGTTTTGTTAGAGAGTTAACAGGAAACCACATTTAGAGGGTACCCATGTTAAGTACTCTGATTTGACCAGCATGTCGCGTTTGAATAGCAGTTTCTCAGCCTTTGTACCATTTTTGAAATTCCTATTGCAGATTTCTTGCCCTGCCTTACAGACCCTCTACTATCTGTTTCTGGTCTGTCTCAGGCTTTTGAAATCATCTTTTTTTATTATTCCATTAAAATTTTTAAAAATGGATTTTCCTTTACACTTTTCTAATCATCCTGTAATTCTTTAGCCCTAAGACATTAAAATGAATGAGTAAAAATATTTGATACCTAATCGTCTCTGCCAGTCCATTCAAACTCTTGGATTTGCAAAATTATGTTAAAGTCTTTTAAAAATACATTTGAGTAGGCTTTTGTAGTCATTTGGATTTTGAATATTAATTTTCTCTTGCTATGCCGCTTAGCCATAAAAATGAAAAAGAAAATAGATGTGGGTTTCTTTTAGTGGTGTTAATTTGAAGTACTTGATTTATTTATTATAATACTCAACAATGGCAATTCCTACTTTCTCTGTTCACCTCAGATCCAACAGAAAATAATGAGCAGCCCCCACCCCCCAGCACAGTAAGAAAAAAGTTTGATGCATTTTGTAATAATTGATTAAAAGTATAATTTCCCCATAGATCAAACAAATAATAGAAGTCTGTTGAAGCTTTGTCCTGACCTATTCTGGAAGTAGAAGAATACCCTGGAGAAAGGAGCACTGTAAGCACAAAAAATAAGACTCCTCAATCCTGGGAGAGAGAATTAAAGTCTAACCCTCCAAATGTAAGTCATCTGTGCTCTATATTTTCCATCCCTCAGTTTTTGTGGCTATTCAGGTATTAGTAGAAAAATATGTGGTGACAATATTATTTGGACTTTTTTCTTTACGAAATATGCAGGTTTTTTGGTTGGTAACTTTTACATTCTATTTGTATTAACATTTTCTAACTAATAACATAAAGCGACGCTTCACAATAATAATATTTAATGCAAAATGGATTAATTTTAATTTTATTTTCTGGTGGAGAACTGTTAAGAATTTTGAGAGTATTCTGATGAAAAGAAAGTAACTTCCTTTGATTTAATATCTGTGGTTGTACCATCATAATCTCATTTTGCTCTAAACTTTGTTTTTTTCTTTTTCTTTTATTCTCATATCTGAGAATGACTATCTTAATATATCTATGTAAGTCCACCTTCCAGTAAGAGAGACATTAAGTCCTTTTTTCACTTTGCATAGTGAAACTGAATTGGATTGCATTCATAGCCATAATCTCCTATAAAAATATATAAATTTTGTCAGCTCAGTGTACTGGAAAGACTGATTCCCTATCCTGTTAGGAAGAACTTAAAAAAGATGTGTGTTAATGATTATATAGAAACACAGAATTCAGTTACTGTTTAGAAATTGGTAGAAAGAATTATGATTAAAGGAAATACTTGTTTTAGGAAAATTATTTGGGAAGAAATTTCTTATTATCACAACTTTTATCTGGAAGTTACCTAGTGCATCAACCTTGTGATAAGGCACTTGATATGCAATATAATGTCTTAACTGGCAGAAATTTGACTTTTGCTTAACAATTGGTAACCTTTTTCATTTCTCAGTGAAAGAATTCAGTGATAGAGTATTGTTTTGATTTTAAAAAGTCCAAATTATGCAGTATAAAATGAATACTTATTACACTTGAATACAACTAAATCATGCATTCCCTCAATTATCTCCAAAATTGAAACATGAATTTTTACAGGTTTTGAATGTGATATTCTTATCGATATAGCATCTGATAAAGTTGTCAAAGTAGTCTGCAGTGAGAAATCTCCATAATTTCTAGGTTCATGTTTAATCTTGTTTTTGGAACTTTCTGATAGAGCCATGAAACACTGTGGCCATTCTTGACAATCTATAATTGTGAGTTAGGATTCTTGAATTTAGCAGAAACTCTGCATTAAAAAAAACTTTTTTGGTTTTGGTCTTAGATGTTCAGTTCTAAATTTTTCTATCATTGACCTAGATAGAGACACCTTTGAGAAAGACTACAAACGTTATCATTCCTTTCATTGACATGAAACAATTGCTCCTCATTTAAAACTTTAATTTTTATCATTGAAAAGTGTGATGAAATTTAAAAAGTTATTTTAAGTTGATGAGTCAATAGTGAACTCTTACTTACGGGTTTGAGGTTGATGAAAGATTGGAAAATATTGTTATTTACAGAAAAATTTTGTTGATCCTCTGCTCTGCAGCAGTGAAAATGGATAAAGCATAGCAATAGTAACATGGTTGAATCTCATAAACATAATGTTGAGTAAGAAAACCTTGACACAAAAGAATAATACTGTGTGATTTCTTTTATGTCAAGTTCCAAAACTAGACTATACTGTTTAGGGATGCAAGAAGTGATGACAACAAAAGTAAAGATAATGGTTAAATTGTAGGTAGGTGGTAGAAATTGGGGTGGAGGTTCCAGGAGCTTCTGGTGTGTAAGCAACATTCTGTTTATTCACTGGGCTGGTGGTTGTGTGGGTATTTGCTTTATGAAAAGCTATTGATGAGACACTAGATGCTTTTCTGCTAAGATCAGGAACAAGGTAAAGATGTTCAGTCTCACCATTCCTATTCAATATTATACTGGAAGTCCTAGCTAAGGTAGTAAGATAAGAAAAGGAAATAAAAGGCATACAGATTGGGAAGGAAGAAATACAACTGTCTATTTCCACATGACATGATTGTCTATGTAGAAAATCCCAAAGAATCAACCACGAAAACCTCCTGGAATTAACAAACGATTATAACAAGATTGCATAAAACAAGATTAATATACAAAAGTCAGTTGCTTTCCTGTATACCGGCAATGAACAACTGGGATTTGAAATTAAAAATACAATACCATTATACTTGCATCAAAAAAATAAAAAAGGAAACAAAGGTATAAATCTAATAAGATATATACAACATCAATATTAGGAAAACTATAAAATTCTGATGAAAGAAAATCAAAGAAAATTTAAATAAATGGAGAGATATTCCACGTCCATGGATAGGCATACTCAATATGGTTATGACATCGGTTCTTCCTAACTAGATCTGTAGTTCAACACAATCCCAATCAAATCCCAGCAAATTATTTTGTGACTATTGCTAAACTGATTCTGAAGTTTATATGGAAAGGCAGAAGACTCAGAATAGCCGACACAATATTGAAAAAGAAGGAACAAGATCAGAGGACTGACACTCCCCAACTTCAAGATCGTTTATGAAGCTACAGTAATCAAGACAGTATGATATTGATGAGTAACAGACAGATCATTGGAACAGAATAGAGAGCCCAGAATAGACCCACACAAATATAGTCAACTGAACTTTGATAAAGGAGCAAAGGCAATTCAGTGGAGAAAGGACATTCTTTTCAAAAAGTGAGACTGGAAAAATTGGATATCTGTATGCAAAAAAAAAAAAATCTAGACACAAACCTTATACCTTTTACAAAAATGAATTAAATATGGATCATAGAGCTAAGGGTAAAATGCAAGACTATAAAACTGGTGAAAGATAAGATAGGAGAAAATCTAAGTAGCCTTAGGTTTTAGATAAAACACCAAAAGCACAATCTGTGAAAAAAATTTGGTAATATGGACTCTATTAAAATGAAAAACTTCTGCTCTAAGAAAGACGCTGTTAAGAGAATGAAAAGATAAGTCAGACTGGAAGACACTATTTATAAAACACATATCTGAGAAAGGACTTGTATCCAAAATATACAAAGAACTCAACAATAAGAAAACATATAACCCAGTTAAAAAAAAACAGATCTAACCAAAGAAGATATACAGATGGCAAATAAGCATATTAAAAGATGCTCAATATTTATTTCATTAGGGAATTGCAAATTAAAACAAGATACCACTACACACCTATTAGAATGGCTAAAATCCAAAACGTGGATAACACCAAATGCTGCCAAGGATTGAAACAACTAGGACTCTGATTTATTGTTGGTGGGAATGCGAAGTGATAACAGGCACTTTGGAAAACAGTTTGGTGTTTTAATACGAAGCTAGACAAACCTACAGTATAATACTTACCATACAATCCAGCAGTTGTGCTCCTGGGTGTTACTCAAATGAGTTGAAAACTTATGTCCATGCAAAAATTTGCACAAGAATATTTATAGAGGCTTTATTCATAATTGCCAAAACTTGGAAGCAGCCAGGATGTCATTCAATAGGTGGAAGCATAAACAAACTGTGATACATCCATACTATAGACTGTTGTTCAGCAATAAAAGGAAACGCCCTATTAAGCCACAGAGCGACGTGGAGGAACCTTAAATGAATATTACTGAGTGAATGAAGAGGCTATGTACCGTATGATTCCAACTATCTGACATTCTGGAAAAGGCAAAACTATGGAGACAGTAAAAATATCAGTGGTTATCAGGGGTTGGGGTGGGAAGAGGGAGCAATTAATAGGTGGAGCACAGGGGATTTTTAGGGCAGTAAAACTATTCTCTATAATACTGTAATGGTGGATACATGCCATTATATATTTGTCAAAACCCATAGAACTGCAAAACACAAACAGCAAACCCTAATGTGAACTCTAGCCTTTAGTTAATAATAAAGTTTTAATGTGGGTTCATCAGTTGTAGCACATGTACCACACTAATCCAAGATGTCAATGATAGTAGAAACTGTGTGTGTATTGGGGATGTGGAAGAGGATGTATATGGAAACTCTCCAAACTTTTTGCTCAATTTTCCTGTAAATCTAAAACTACCCTAAAAAATAGTCTTTATTTTAGGTACTTTTTTGCATGTCTACTATAATTTTGTTTTTAATTTAAAAAGCAATTTCAATTATTCTGTTCAGTAGAATTCTGAGAAGAAGTCAGATAATTTCAATTTGCTCTATCTATCTACACTGAATATTCAAAGTTAAAAAGGCAGAATTTTAAAATTGGTATTTTGTGATATTACAAAGCAGTATATTTTATTTGCTGAAAGTGCTAATGTCCATGGAGGAGGACCTCTATACTTGCATGTATTTAATAACTTTTTATGACAATTTATCTAGCATAAACATATTTATTTTAAGATAGATATTGCAATTTTGAATTTAAAAAGATATTTTTTTATAATATAATCAGAACCCATTCTATAATGAACCACTCATCTTTATTGAGTTGTTTGTGGCTTCTTTCCTTAAATTTTAATACGTTTTATGTAGTTGTCCATCATCCTCAGAAACACTTACTTTTTCAATTAAGTGGGACTTTAATTTGTAAATTTTGACATTAGTATGTTGTAAAAGAAATGGAAAACACAGATGCTCTTTGTATTCTGTCTTTGACTAGAAATATTCAAATATAATTTCAACTTAAAAATACCCGATATGGGCTTCTTTCTAATCCCTTTTTAATTTTTCTTTCCTTTCTTCTTTCTCCTTCCCTTCCTTTTTTTCCTCCTCACTTTCTTCTTTTTTTTCTGAGTATATTCTATTGGTAATTTTCCAAGGAGTGAATATAATCTTATTTAGTTGGTTGACAGTAACAGAAACCAGGAATTTATTATTCATAAAAATGAAATACAAAAATCCCCCTTTTCTTCAGTCTCTGGATATAGCTAGGCTCAACACAAATGTCTAGAGAGAATGCATCTGTTGCTATTGCATTTATTTTTTTTGTTTCTCTGAAAACTTGGCATTTGTAAAATATCTATGATTTTGATTTGTCTTGGCCCAAACCCAGATTACCAAGGAATTACATTTTGAACATATTCAAC